TTGAGTTCTAGCTCTAATCCATGGTGGTCTAATAAGATGCAGGGTGTTATTTCAGTCTTTTTATATCTGCTGAGGCTTGCCTTGTCACCGAGTATATGGCTGATTTTGGAGAACGTTTTGAGAGGTGCTGAGATAAGTTATATTCTCTTGCATTTGGGTGAAATATTCTATAGATATCTGTTATGTCCATTTGATTCATGATGTCTGTTAGTTTTATTATTTCTCCATTTAGTTTATCTCTTAATGATCTGTCCATTGGAGTGAGCTGAAATCTCCAGCATTAATCTGTGGGGTTTGATGTGTGATTTAAGCTTTAGTAATATTTCTTTTATGAAAGAAGGTGCCCTGGCATTTGGGACATAGATATTCAGAATTGAGACATTGTCTTGGTGTATCTTTCCTTTAATGAATATTAAGTGCCCTTTACCATCTCTTTTGATTAATTTTGGTTGAAAGTCTATTTTACTAGATACTAGAATGACTATTCCAACTTGCTTCTTGGATCTGTTAGCTTGGAAAAATCTTTTTTCTAGCCCTTTACCTTGATATAATGTCTGTCTTTATTGCTGAGGTATGTTTCTTGTATGCAGCAGGTGATGGGTCTTGTTTTTACATCCATTCTGCTAACATGTGTCTTTTTATTGGGGAGTTGAGGTCATTGATGTTGAGAGATATTAATGAACAGTGATTGCTACTTCTTGTTATTTTCATGTTGGTGGTGGTAGAGGGTGTGTGTGTGTGTGTGTGTGTGTGTGTGTGTGTGTGTGTGATTTCCCCCTTTTTTCTTTTCTGATGTGGGGTTATTTATTACCTGTGCTTTCCTGGGTGTAGCTGGCTTCCTTAGGTTGCAGTTTTCTTTCTAGTGTCTCCTGTAGGACTGGATTTGTGAGAAAAAAAAAAAAAACAAACAAACAGAATGCTTCATGAATTTGTGTGTCATCCTTGCCCAGGGCCATGCTAATTGTATTTTAGTGTATGTGGTGCTGAAGTGAGCACCAGTGTGCTATCCTTAAAGTAATACCCCTCCTCCTCTTTCTACCATGTCCTAGAGCTTATTAACATTATGATTTCATTCACCAGTTTGTTTAGAGCTGTCATAATGCAATCGTGTCTCAATCATTGGATTAGCAAGCTGAAGACTAAGTTTTAAACATTAGTCTTTGGGGGACATTTAATATCCAAACAAACACAACAATAGTGAGGTTTAGGGCTTGAACATATATAAGTTCCAGTACTAGGCACAAATTCCATTTAAAAACCTACAAGATTTTTTTTTGTTTTATTTTGCTTTATTATTGCAGGTCTTTCTTCTATGAAGTCCCTCTAATTCATGCTTGTTATAGCCTGTAATTGCTTCCCCCAATTTATTATTTCATGAGTTTCATGAGGAGTCAGTGACAGTTGATGGCTTCTGGGGGAGGGCAAGTCACTTTTCCTTAAGGTTGTGGCTTCTCCTGTTCCACTAGGCTCCAGTGGATGGCACCAGACCCAGGAATATATGGACAACACAAACTGAGCCTGAGTTTGGCTGTGAGTCTCAGGAAGAAGGGAGGGGTGGATAGAAGGATGTAGAGGAGACAGGATTCCCACAAGGAGACCAACAAAGCTAAAAAATTTGATCCCAGGTGGTCCTACAGAGACTGATGTACCAATGGAGGACCATACATGGAAAGGACCTAGACCCCCTGCTCAGATGTAGCCAATTGCTAGCTCAGTCTCCATGTGGTTCCCTAGTAAGGGAATCAAGGGCCGCCTCTGTCATGACTTGATTGCCTGCTCTTTGACCACTTGCTCCTGGCAATGCAGCCTTGCCAGGACACAGAGGAAGAGGATCCAGACAGTCCTGATGAGACTTGATAAGCTATGGGCAGATGGCAGAGGAGGAGAACTCCCCCTTTCAGTGGACTAGGGGAAGGGGATAGGGGGAAGAGGGATGGTGGGTAGGACTGGGAGGAGTTGAGGGAGGGGGCTTCAATCAGGATATATAATGAATAAATTGTGAAAAAAGAAAAAAAAAAAGATAATGAGAACAAAGACCCAGGACAGAAAAAATAAAAGCAGAGGATGCAAAGTTGGAAGGGTGAGAGTGAATCTAGGAGAAGATAGAGAAGAGGAGTGGGCTAGGGACACCAGTATGATCAAAATATATTGTGTTATTAAACTCTCAAAGTATCAAGAAAAATAATGTTTGAATAAAATGACCACTTAGATTTTCATGTTTCTGCTGTTATGAACTGGGGATATAAAGATTGATTTGGAATGAATTTTGTAGGGGCTGAGTAAAAGTTGCACTGATAGCCACCTTCTGGATATGTGAAACTGTGTCCCTGTAACACCCATGATTTTGAAGAAAAGAATGAGATTTACAGGAACCTGTTCTGCTTGGTCTGAGTGATGATGAGATATAAGCACCTCACCCTTTTTCATTCAGAGTGATGGTACTAGTGTATTTCTGTCATTCTTGCAGTGTCATGGGCTTCCAAACTCTGGTTGTCACACTCAGCCACAAGCTTAGTTCATTACAAGTTTTCAGTAATACTCCTCCCAAGAGAAATAAGATGCTAACATGGTTTGTGGTCCATAAAGTTCCTGTGGCTTCCTTGATGCTATTAGCTTTATTCCTTCATGGATGAGCCAAATTTTCCTTTACTTCTATAAGTAGTTGTGTTCCCCAAGGAGGCAATGGAAACTTAACAATTATGTCATGCTTTTAATTTAGACTCAAGATGTCAGTGTTATCCTCTGGGACGTCTCTGTCTTTTGTAAAATTAGAATTCACACTGAATTCTCAAGAGCTACAGTCAACTGCTTATTGGTATACTTAACCTTGTTTTGTTTTGAGCCGATGAGTATTCTGACTGTCACCATGGAACTTCTTGTCCCTTAGAGATCCTACTTATTACACTGTCTCCCCTGCCTTCTAGAGAGAAATGGAGGGACCTTCTCACACCTTGAAGTTGAAGGTATCTGCGTTTATCATCTAAGGGGCTTAACAAGGCAGGGGGAGGTGGAGAGTTTGCGCTCAGTCATATAAGTGTGTGTGTCTGGGTGTACACTCCAGTTCCATGGACAGTTGTTAAAAGTGAGTACCTGTCTAAAGTTTGAGAGGCTAGCTCAGTGTCTCCATGTAGAACAGTTCATCTCAAACTCACGCAGCACCTAATTCAGGAGAGGAGAGGGAGGCACGGTTTCTTTGTTTGTCTTCCACCTCCATTAAGCCTTGTTAGGTTTCTCCCAAATTTTCTGGCAAATCTCTGTAACTGTCTCCATCTCCACAGACACACCCAGGTGTACCAGTGAGCCTATTGTATCTGAACTGCTGCAACCCTCCCCGCCCCCCGATTCAGCTCCTCTGATACCTGGCCTTGCTGTAACTCACGTCTACTCACTAAACAGTATAACGTTTAAAGCTAGACACTCTTTACTGAAATCTTTTCTCGCCCATACTCATGCTTTGAGCAGAGAACTGAAGCCTTCTATTCTAGCATAAATGGCCTTATACACCCTGGCTCTTCAGTAATATTCTTGCTTCACAGATTTTTACCAGACTGAGCATGGTCTTGACTTCCGTCTTTCCCACAATGCCCAAGTCCTGCCCATCCCCAAACACTTATCATGACTGTTCACAGAACATATAAGAATAGGCTTCCCCACCAACTGCGGTTTCTTGTATTTAGCTGTCTGTCAAAGTTATGAGTATGCACAGATCTTCTAATTCCAATTCTGGGAATTTATCATCTATACGCATGCTTATGTAAAAAGGTATTGAATAATGCTGTATATCGTAATAGTGGAAATGGAAACAGTAATAAACTCAATGTCTGGAAATAGCTAATTAGTACTTCAATATGATAAAATGATTTTTACAGCATAGTGACGGGTGATATAACTGCATGTATAATTAATCTCTGGTAACAAACCCGCATAAGAATATTTAAGATAGCGGACTGGACAATGTAGAGATTTTTAAAGATAGTTTCACCTAGGATGGCAGAATTGGAGTATAGTAATACAAACTTTTAACACCCTCCGCCACCAAGAAGTGCTTAGTTTGAACTTGAGGCTTTCTCAGCTCTCAAACACAAAGACATTCAGATTGGTTTTGTTATGGAGCATGGATCTATGTTTTAATAGATGGGTCAGCTGACAGAGAGGGGAACAATAATTAATGGTTTGTTAGAAATACAAGAAAAGAAAAAATTATTTAAGAGTCATTAGCAAAAGAAATCTGGGTTCAAACCAATGAAAATGGAGAAGGTTGTTGGATTAGAACAGGCAGGAGCCAAGCGCTTCCTTGGCACATTCCAGATGTAGCCAGAGAAGTTAGCTATTTCCTGGCATTGTACAAACCTGCAAAAGCAACATTAGGTTCTAGCTGAGAGAACACAGAAGAAAACTTGCGACACAGACTCCTTACACATATTCCACAAAAAACTGCTTTTGGAAGAGTGACAGACAACTGGAGGTGTGGTGGGGAGATGTGAGGGGCATGTCCCATGATATATCAAGTTATTGACCTAGAACCATGCCCTTTAAGTCTCTGAACCATATATTGCAGTTTTGTAGCTGCCTATGAGGTTCTTTCAGTTTCAATACAGCCCCAGATGTAGATCATCAGTCAATATGCTTCTAGAGCTATGAAGAGGGTTAAGAGGCTGGCAAAACTTTATATACTATTGACTAGCTTTGCTATTGATTGATTACTGTTCTAACCTTTCCCCTCAGACTCTATTTCTGAATTCCATTCTAGATTTCTAGACTTCTCAAGGCTGATCTTTTCTTATCTGATAATTGTGATGATATTTCCAGGTTCCTTAAAAAAAATACATTGAGCTAGTTTCTAAGTCACCAGTCTCTGTTAGCATTCAAAAAGTTTGAGAATTTTAGATACCGTGAATATAGTAATTAAAAACACTGATGTCATTGCTCCCTAATCCCAATGCTTCCCATTCTCACATTCCCCTCATTCGTTTTGTTTTGCTTTTCATCTCAAGCAGAAGATGAAGAGCACAAGGAATCGGAGCAGCGCATCCGAGTTCCTCCTCCTGGGGCTCCCCATCCGGCCAGAGGAGCAAGGCATGTACTATGCCTTCTTTCTGGCTACATATCTGACCACGGTGCTGGGGAACCTGCTCATCATCCTGCTCATCAGGCTGGACTCTCGCCTCCACACCCCCATGTACTTCTTCCTCAGCCACTTGGCCTTCACGGACATCTCCTTCTCGTCAGTCACGGCTCCAAAGATGCTCACGAACATGCTGACTCACACTCAGTCCATCTCCTACGCTGGCTGTGTTTCCCAGGTGTATTTTTTCCTGTTCTTTGCAGATCTTGACAGCTTTCTTTTGACCTCCATGGCCTATGACAGGTACGTGGCCATCTGCCACCCCCTCCACTATACCAGAATCATGAGTCAGACTGTCTGCATCCTCCTAGTCATTGTATCCTGGTTCTTATCCTTTGCTGGTGCCCTTGTGCACACTCTCCTTCTAGCTCGTCTCTCTTTCCTTCGAGGTAACACTCTCCACCACTTCTTCTGTGACCTGTCTGCCTTGATTAAGCTGGCCAGCTCAGACACCTCCGTCAATGAGCTGGTTATCCTCATTGTGGGATCACTAGTCATCACCGTGCCCTTTGTATGCATCCTGGTCTCTTATGGCCGCATCGGAGCCACCATCCTGAGAACTCCCTCCATCAGGGGAATCTGCAAAGCCTTCTCCACGTGCGGCTCCCATCTCTCTGTGGTGTCTCTGTACTATGGAGCCATTATTGGGCTATATTTTGTCCCCTCATCAAACAACACTAATGACAAGGATGTCATAGTGGCTGTGCTGTACACTATGGTCACGCCCATGCTGAATCCCTTTATCTACAGCCTGAGGAATCGGGACATGAAAGGAGCACTGAGGAATATGCTTGCAAGAGCAACTTCTTCCATGTGATTAGCTTTTTCTGCTGCAGGAAGTTGAGATCTCCCCTCTCTCTACAAGGGTCTTCCCCTCTGGGAAATGCTGTTTCTTAGTGACTCAGGGCATTGTTTTTTCAGGCACAAGGTACAAACAAATGTCCATAGTTTCCAACCCCCTCTTTCTTTCCTTCTTTCCTTTCTTCTTCCTTCCTTCCTTCCTTCCTTCCTTCCTTCCTTCCTTCCTTCCTTCCTTCCTTCTTTCTTTCTTTCTTTCTTTCTTTCTTTCTTTCTTTCTTTCTTTCTTTCTTTCCTTCTCTTTCTTTCTCTAGCCTGATAGTCTTGCACAAGTTTTCTTCATAAGCATATCCACAAATAGACTTTTTTATATAGAACTCTTTTTCCACAATTGTGATTTTATATTTTTTTTATTTTTCCTTTTTCTTTCTTAATATGTTAAAGCCTTTAGAAGCAAAGACTTTTTTCTCCATTCTTAAAGATGCTAATATTTTTTCAGTTTGATTAATTTATACCGTTATTTGTATTTAATTTTATAATTCAGCTGGAGTTTATTTTTTAAGTAACTTCAATTCAAATGTAGCTATGTTTTTGTTTTAATTTCTGTTTATTTATTAATTATTTTAATTGACATCAAATGGTGCATAGTTACTGGATACCATGCATTGTTTCCATATATCTATACAGTTCATATGTCCAAATCATGAAGATTATGTTTAATTCCTCATTTTTCACATGTTCATGATGAAAATACTCAGCATTCTTCCTCCTATCACCTTGAAACACACAGCATTTTCTCACCACACAGACTCTCCTCCTTATCATGTAATCAGGAGTAATTTTTCCATTTAACTGTTATCTATTTATTGGCCAACCTCCCTCTGATGCTATCCTTCTGTGTATAGCTTCCATTCCACCCCCAACCGGTTTTAGTTGTGTTAGTGTGACGGTAACTAAGTACAGAACTGTTTTGTTTATTTTTCCTTAAAGTGCCTGAGCCTGTTAACATACTGAAAAAAGATTAGCTTTCTAAAAGGCCATGACAGACAGATGCTGATCAAACTGGTGAATAAAACCTCTGTAGGAGATTTCTAGGTCCTGTGAAACAGAGTGAGAGACTTTCCAAAGCCACTCCAGGGAGGGCTGTGACTGGCATACTCTGTACATCATTAAGTCCAGCCTCTTTAAATGTGAACTGAGGGGTGACTGGCAGGCTTCTGGGAAGAAGTCTAGGCAATCTGAATTGACCCAAGAATGCTGAGATGGACAGCAACCCGACCATCACTCTCTTTAAAAGGATACCTCTCTGCCCTACACTCAGATGCGTTGCTTTCTCTGTCCACACGAAATAATGCACTTTACCCTCTAGTCCCTGTGAAGCTGCATCTGCCCAAGACTTCACTTCCTTAAGCAAATTGCTGTAACATATTTATTTTTGTTAAAATATTAAAGGACTGCCACCACGTGGCTTGAATGGGCTGAAGACACCCAGAGGCCGGCCCACCACTGCATGGCCCACCTGCAGTGGGGGCCACTACAGTGCGCAAGCGTGGTGGAGAGACAGAGAAATGGGATGGTCTGAGCACTATGAAGAGGGGCAGAACTGGAGAGGGATAGCCTGATGTGAGTAGCCTGCCCTGCCACTTAAGGCCATGTTGAAGTTTTGGTCCATGCCTGTGCTGACAGCCATGTCTGCTTTTGTGGCACAGGTGTGTGTTGATGTCAGTGGCTCATATCAGCACCAAAGGCCACGTGGACATCCCTGGTCTGGGCTGCGGCCTAGGACCATGTTGATGGCCAGCAGCTGCGCAGAGCTGTTTCTGCCCCTCACTGACTGCAGCTCTCAGGCAAGCGGGCCCTGCATTCCTAGGTAGCACAGTAGAGCTGGCCGTGGTGGCAGGGGAGCTGGTGAGCTGGCCCCAAGAGTGTGGGAGAGCTGACCCATCCCCTTGCCAGCTGTGGCATTGGCTGAGCTTGCTGGGGCACTGCTGGAGAGCTGGCCCTGGTGGTGTGGGCAAAGGAGAGCTGGCAGGCTGATCAACTCAGCTACCACCAGGCCCAGATTCAGGCCTTTGAATTGGCCCACCCTAACATCTACCCCATCTATGAACTGCTAGAGCACGTGAAGGGGCTGGTCTTGTAGATCCAAAGCTACAGGATCTCCATGACACAGGGCAACAGCAGGAGATCTGAGAGGAGTCCCTGTGAGGATTCAGTATTGATAGTGTAGCAGAAGCCAGAGGCCTTGAACCAGACCAATGACTCACTTCAATGAACATTTGCAAGTAAAGATGTGTGGACAAAAGGCTATACTGTGTGACACACTACAACTTCCACAACAAGATTTTTTTAATTAAAAAATTTTAAATTATTTTTTGTTTTCTTTTGGGGGAAGGTTGCAAGGGTGGAGGGTAGATCTGAAGGGATGGGGAGATGAGTGGAACTGGGGTGTATTATTGTTTGACTCACAAAGAATCAATAAAACGTTAAAAAATATTGAATCACATCAGTGTACAAAGTAAGAGTTTTCATTGTGGCTTTGTCTTACACACAGATGTAACACTCTGATCAAGTCAACCTGCTCTGTTTTATCATCTCTACTTCTGCCCCTTTTGGTCCTGCTGTCTTCCTTAGTACACTGTCTCTGATTGCCAGGATGTCTTTTTCTTTTAGTTTTCACATATGAGAAAAGACATGGCACTAGTCTTTTTGATTATATTTTTTCACAGTGGGAGAAATGAAAATCCCATAGTTTTTCCTGCAATTGGCACATGACAGTCTTTGTCTATCACCTGTTAGTTGTTACCTTGATCTTATCATAATTCCTCTAAGGATGAGCTGACTCTCTTGTGCCTTCTTCAGCAAACAGTTCTATCCCTAGAGAAGCCCGAGCGAATGATGCAACCATATGCACTTTGTCCCTAATCAGCAGCCAGGCATAGGGGATCACCCCCTTGTCATGGTTTGGGAAATTATAACGTACAGCAATTTCTCAGGGACACAATGCATCCCTCCATCTACCCATCACAGCAGGCTGCATGTTGAAAGTCTTCTGTCGCTCACGGTGGAACACTGAGCCCTTGCAGGTTCTGCCAGTTTCATTATATCTTCTACACTTCATAAAGAAATGGAAGAAGCTTCCATGCCTTGCATATCAAGGTATCTGTGCTCATCATCAAAGACTCATCTCAGAGAAGAACTAGAGTTTACAAGAAGTAGGATGGTTGTGTAACCTTGGATGTCCTTACGTGTATGTGCATGCAGTGTTTCGCTTCTCCCCAGGACCCAGCCCTCTTCATGTCACACTCTGACAGACAGATCCCTGTAGAATAACTTACTTTGATCTCCTATCCAAAATTTGAAAGAGTCAGGTGGCGGCAAATTTGCATGCGAATAGATTCTCTCTGATTTTATATCTAATTTTGAGATGAAAAGGTAGGGCATACATCCTCTTGCTTTTCTTTGACTCCCATCATCTTCATTTTTGGTATTTTCTTAAATTTTGTACTAAACCAATATAATTTGGTTCTGTACTGCAATAATTCGCGTAGAAAGTGGAGTCATTTTGTAACTAAGTTAGTCTAATAACTATTCAGATTCCTGTTAATTCTGTTTCGATCTCTACCAGCAGAGGGCAAGCGCCTAAAAATCTTTACTTAGACTTTTGCTTGGTCCTGTTTCTCAGAATAGAATGAAGGTTTCTAATGGGCCAGAAAAAGATCTTCTCTATGCTCCCTCAAGTTCTCCAACCCCTGTCTCTTCCAGCTGACGCACAGCCTTGAGCTTTCTCTCTTCAAATGCCCTCACTCTGTGCTCTCCAAGCACTTTTCAAACAATTATTTTCAATAGACAGATTCTTACATTAAAGAGCGCAATAAAGAACACACAGGAGTAGAGTTCCCTGTCCCCTTATCTTTTCATGGTTAGACAGTATCAATCTAATTGCATTTTTAAAAGTTCATTCTATGTACACATTACATATATTGGCATGCATAAGAACTTAAAAACTTACTAATGTTGCTCATTGAAATGTAACAAACTGTTAGAAGCAGCCACATCTCCAACAGATAGTTAATTACCATGTTCATTGAGACATGTTAGTTTTTGTTATTATGAAACAAGTAGCAAAGTAGTCTGGCTCCATAACAGCATCACTTAGAAGGCAGCTGTGCTCAGGGTAGCCCCACCAACGCAACAGCAACACTTGAGGGAATTTTGATAGAGTAGGACAAATAATATGTGAACTTTAAATATACTTCAATCAAGTTGAAGGGATTTAGACTTTAGATTATTTTACTGTAATCCTTACTTAACTCTTCAAATAAATGGTGGATAAGATGATTATGTAATTCTCAAAAGTCAACAAATTCAGAGTGAATAATTCTTTTGAGGGAATATGGAGCCTGCGTTTTAGTAGATGTTTCCCGTGTTTTCTTTACCAATTATGAAATGATTGTGACAGCAGGTAGGCCTAAAGCTAACAAATTTGAAGGAGAAAGAGGACAAATTATCATATTTACAAATTATAAGAAGTGCTGTAATACAACAAAAAATTATCTATAGATCATTAGGGTGATATCAAACTTACGAAGGGTGATATCAAACTTACGAATCACTGCGAGGGACCACTTATTACTTGTTTATGCCAGACAAATAGTCACAAAGAACCTGTTCTTTGGTAGATTCTGGATGTGACGGGGAAAGTCAAGGATTTCTGGGTATTCTACTGGCTTGAATACCCAGGACAGCCTAGCTTGAGCTGAGGGGCTATATACAGAGGACTCGGCAAGTATGTGTTGGAAGAGACGAATGGCCCTATTCCCCTTCATCTAATGAATGTTCCTTCAGGAACGGGGGTAGGCTGAACTGTTGGGTAGGAAAGAATCATCTTAAAGTAACAATTGATAGAGTAAGCCAGGTGTGGTGCACACAACTTTGATCCCAGCACTCAGGAGGCAGAGGCAGACGGATCTCTGAGTTTGAGGCCAACTTGGTCTACAGAGTGAGTTCCAGGACAGC